AAATTGAATTTATGCCTCTTAGAGTTGAGTGTTGGGTTTTTTCAAACTTTGTTAGGAATTTGAACCTTAGCAAAAAATGTAATCCTGGAAGTGTATTTCATAGACATGAAATGTGTCTGTCTCCTTCTTTATTTAGTTTTTGTACTATTATTTCAACCTCCTAGAAATTGCAGATCATTTGGGAATGTTTTGATTACGCCTCAGCCCTTTTTTTGTTGGTCTTCAAAAGATAATGTTTATAAGGATTGAGCCATGAGCTCTCACCTGTCAGGATGACAGAATGTATGTAAAAATATTATATTTTGCCCATAAAGCAGTAGCAGGAAGATCACCAGATCACCAAGTTAAGCTGATGCATCTAACTTGCCTGCATCAAGTGAGGGAATGAGGACAACAGCTGTTCCTTGGTAAATGGGCAGAAAGGGTGGCGAAGGAGGTTGTGAGGCAGCATCTCAGGTTGGGGACGGGGAAAGGTAACCATCAAAGGTTACCAGGACATGTGGATATGGAAGCAAATGCCTGGCCATGGGTGCTTACAAGTGCACTTGTGGTTTTTGCCAAAAATGTCACATTTGTTCAAGGTTGCATTGCAAGTATTTAGCAGAACGGAGAAGAGACCACAAATACCTTTGACTTACAGCCTGTAACCTCAAGTTTGGCAGCGAATGTTACCAGGACTGTGCACTGAATTGTGTTTTAATGAGGCACCTAAACATTCTGGGATAAAAACGCGATGGGGTGGTGTCTCTCAAGTATTTGGTCCTACTGCTGCAACTTTGCTGTGACAGCTGGAGCTCAGGGAGCAAATGGGTACAGGCTGAAGCATGCAAAAAATTTAGACTCGTGCCCTCAGTCCTCCAGCAAATCTTACTCTGGAGCATCTGTTCTGCAGGCTTGCATTTCTCAAGTGTCCACATTCCTCTAAAGTGAAATGAAATATTAGGAATGCAACTGATACTCTGGAAAGCACTTTCTTCTTATATCTCCTTCTGGTGTATAGTAACAAGGAGATTATCAAAGTTTGTAAGGACATGTGCTCCTATTACTATCATGTATAAACAATTCAAAGATTCAAAGGCCTTTCAGAGGAGTGGTTGGGAAAAGGTTGTGAATTATGTAGCAGATTAATTTCAGGAAACTGTTGTATCCAGTTTGAGGTTATTACTAATAGCCTGCTTCATAGTTATTAATTATTGTTGGTTTTTTTTCCTCTACCAAGAGCTTCTTTTCTAAAGGTGAATTACTTTGAATTAAATATATTTGAATTTTTATGCAAAATATTTAAGTAGAATACTCTGAAGTTTTGTTTTCCAAACACAACCCTTTTCAAAAGAATAAACAAGCAAATACAGACAGGTGAGATAATAGAAAGATTTCCCACTCCTTTCTATATCTCATCCATAAGACTGATAAAAACAATGCCAGAGTTTGGGAAGCAAAAGTACATTTTTTTCCCAGACTGTTCCATTCCATTCCTCCTCCTTCCCCCACCTTGACCCCTGAATTCAAACCAGTAAATACCTGCATGAATTTTGTCATCAGTATGCCTACCAGAACCAGATATCACCTTTGTCAGGGGAGCATGCCTTTGAGTGCAAATCAGGACCAAGATGGAAATAGTGCTAGTTAGAGAAAGCCAAAGGCAAAAATTATCCAGTGGTGGCTAACTGGGCCAGGCAGACAGGACCTCAAGCGTTGATGGATTTTCAGGTAATAGAGTAAATGCACCCAGCATCTATCTCACACTGTTGTTAAAACTTGGTGTTTCTTTTCCAGGTGTCTTGTTTTCGCTGGTAGTCGTGATGTATGTCATCTGGGTCCAGGCCATGGCTGATCTGGAAAACTACACAAACATGAAAAAAATGGATTGCCCAGACTTTGCTGTTTATGTACGTTACGGCTGGTCGTTTATGTTGGCTCCTATAGGAGTATTTTTTGCTTTGTTAGCAGGAATGCTGTTCTTGTTGGTGGGGCGTGACATTTATTTACACTCAGACTAGTCAGACACTGCTGAAGGGAATACAGCAATACTTGTGAAACTTTGTGACAAGTGTAAACTGGAGCACAATTTTGTACATTATTACTATTATAGCAATCTTAAATGTGCAGGCAGCCTTCTGGAAGTTCTTCTATTACTTGTTTAAGGGTAAGGGACACAAAACTCAGTACAGGAAGAAACGACATTTAGTCCCACCTAGTTGTTTTTAATTCTTTAGAAAGTACACATGTGGTTCTTCACATTGTACTATTAGCAGCATTTTTGTAGGTTAACAAACAGAAGAAAAAAATCTTCTGCAAGTAAAACATGAACATGAATTGTCTCAAATCAACATTTCATGCATTTATCTTTTAGCATTTACACTGTTCTTCTGTTTGTAGAGAATGGCACAAGGTAGAGGAGAAGGCAAACATTCAAACACAGTAATTCAATCTACCTCCTCTCCTGTTTTCCACTCCTTGCCTTAGCTTTAATGGCAGCAAACATGTCTGCACTTTATAAAAATAGAGTGCAGTTGTTCATGCAGCATCCATAGGAAGAGGACTAGAGAGAAGACAATTGCCATGAATATGTAAAAGCTTAACTGTTCTATTACCCATTTCTCTTCTCTGTATGCATTTGAAAGTTGTATACTTTTGTATTCTGAAATCCATGTGTTGCATGATTCTGTAAGCCAAAATGCCATAGTAGAATCACTATCTGAAGTTATGCCAAAATTGTATTTTGAGTTATAGCATTAATATTTTAATTAAGTTTTAACCCTTTTATTTTTCAGTGGAACAACTGGCTCCTCTAAAAATATTTTCATGGTTGTGTAAAATTAATTTTTTATTAAAAAAGGTTTATTATCAAGACAATATTTAGGACATGAAAATGTGTGTCTTGTGCAGCCTTCATTTTCCCACATGTTAAAAATCTGCATTATAGATCAAATCCAACTTTCCTACTAGGCTTGCTAGGGAAAGCAATGAGCCTAGCTAAGACAGCCAGGGAGATGGATTTGGTACTGCATTGTAGAAATGGCTGGTTCTGTGTGTGTGTGAGTGCACATCTGTGTGGAAGATGGGGTAAAGATGAGACTGTATGCCTGGTATGGAAAAGATGGTTGAGTTTTAACAATGGGGAAACTTTGTCTGGCATTGGGCCCAAACAGAAATTAAATCCACGTGAGAGTGTGCTGGTTTTCACTTTGTAACTCAATGCAGAATAGTTTGGGGCTGATGGGGAAAAGTAAAGGCTGCATGTCGGTTTGTTCTTGTTCATAATGCTTAATTCCACAGCTGTTACGAATACTGAAAGCATTGCTAAAAGGCAGGAAAGGAATGCCCACAGAGAAGATGTGGTGAGCCAGATTGGATGTTATTCCATTTTGGGAGGTTTTGTGATTGGAAGCTTTCCAGCCTTTCCTGCTACTTATTTATTTTTCCCTCATCAAGATTAGTGTTATACATTATAGAACAGGAAGACAACAAGAGTAGGAGGTAGGGAAGCTGGGACTGTGAGGTTTAGAATAATTACCAATTCACAAAAATATTTTTATTGGCAAATAACATGGTGTTTTTAATTACTGTGTCAGAGAGTCTGATGGGTGAATTTTAACCAAGTATTCATAAGCATATATATATACATGTATGAACCCCACATAAATGATAGCCATCCAGAGAACATTAGGGTTACACCATAATGCCATTGGTTAGTCAGGAAATGCTGAAATTAACCCAGCTCGTTGTGCATATGGTATTATATTCCTGCCCTTAATTACACAATCACATACTGTTTCTCAAATAATACATTCTGTTGGTTTTTGCCCACTTTATAGTCTAGGACACTTACTGCTAATTGTGAAGGTAAACTCAATAATCAAGAGTTATTGACTAGGTACCCCATCCCAAACCCTGTCTGCTTCTCTGCAGGGGTGAGTCCTTCTCCACAAGAGCTTAAGGGGGCAATATGCTTGAGCCACTTTCTTGCAGCTTTTGGTAGCTGGAGGAATTGAGAGGTGCCTCAGACCTGGACCTCTTCCAGCAAACTCAACCATGTGTGCAGCAGCAACTAATAAACTCTGCAAGGATTGAGCCAAAGGCTCCTGTGGCGCCCTTAATTCAGCCCATGTGCATCTTCAGAACTCTCTCCATTATGCAGCAAAATTAGTTACACTTTTGTGTGCAAGACATCCTCTCTTGGAGACAACCCTTTGGGTCAGACTGTGGATGTAATGGCCATCAAGATCCAAGGTGTTTCTGAGGATTCCCTTGGAAATGTCTGCAAGCCTTTCCAAAACCAGCAGAAATTTCTTGAGTCCTCATAAATTTTTCACTCAAACTCATATGTTGGCAGCAGTCTGTAGCTCTATCAATTTGCTTTAATTGGATTCCCTCTTAGTGGCAGAACTGAAAGTCAGGTTCTTTCTGAAATAGTGGGGTTTGTTTGCTCCCTCCAAAAAATGTATGTAGGTAAGCACGTGATATGTAATAAGTAGTTGCTGCAGACCAAGGAATGGTGTTATGGGTGGTGGGGAGGCATTTCTGGATGATTATTGCCTGAAAGCACAGTTTAACTCTTGTTCTTCTGATTTCATTAAAGAGCTATGTGCAGGGGAATGGGTTTGTAAGAACTTGGGGAAGACAGGCCAGCTAAGGAGACTTGCTTTGTGGCATTCTTCCAGATATGCTTTTGTCTAGAAAATCCTTGGCAGGGATGCAGGGATTTTCATGAGAGCTGAATAAAATATTGTAAAGAGGATTAAATACGCTAATCAAAATATTCTGTGAAATTGGTCAAAGAACTGTGTTCCTCACAAATCCATAGGAGTTTGGGAGTTCAGGTTTTGGTGGTTTTTTTTTTTTTTTTTCTTTCCTTAATAATTTCCTAGCTGGCTTAATAGCCTGTGATCATATTGGAAGAAAAGAGATTTATTTTTTAAGAAATGTGTTTGGAAGAGTAAGGAAGAAGAGTAAATAAGAAGCATTTTCTGATTACTTTCAATCTGTAAATCATCCATTTGTCCAGTGCAAACATGGGAAGGACTATGACTACCCGCAAAGGAGACAGTGTGAAAATAAGGAGAAGGAAGTGAGAAAGGAGGGAGAAAAAGACAGGTGAGTGTTCCTCTGTTGCTGCCATCTGCCAGACCTCTGTGCAGCTGTTGTTGATCCCTGGGGGATCAACACAATGTGGCAAAGGCAGCTGCAGACAAGACCAGTCAGAAAAGGATTTTGCCCATTTATTCTTTTTACTCATTTGGATAGCTGCTGTAGGTTTCACTGGAGCTGACCTTCATGAAATTTGTGGCTGTTTATTGGCATTTATATTAATGAGGTAAAACAGTGTTCTCCTCTGAGGAAATGCAAAAAAAAGCCTGCTTTATTTCTCTGCAGGATGCCTACCTACTGCCGCTGAGACTGTACTCTGTAGTGTGCTAGTAAACTTCTAGTAAAACAGTTGCAGGTAGTGTCTATAGCTGTCTTCATTCCTGCAAAATCCTGGCTGTGAAGTATGTTGTGCTTATTATCTTTCAAGAAGTCATACTGAATATCTTAAATGAGCTATTTACCTTCTGATGCAGCAGCTGGCTCTCCTCTGGCTCTCCTGTTCTTATTTGTCCTTTTGGCAGTGTGATTCCCAGGCAGTGAAGGCTAGATAAAGTATGTTCACATGAAATTCTGTTGTTAACTTAGAGTAAGTCTGAACTGATGCAGCTGAAGTTGGGGGAGACACTGAAATTGAAAACAGAAGTCAGTCATCCATAATCAAAAGTGACAGAAGGGATGAAGAATCACAAGTACTTACAGCACTGCTTTTCCCTCTGTGTCTCTCACTCACATTACCAGTTTAAGACCAAAACTGGTCTATCTTTCCAGTCCTTATGTGCCTTATCTACTCAGGAGACATATTTACAATAGTGGTCAGGAGAGCCATTTGACAAGAAGGAATGGAGGGCTGGCAGCAGCTCCTGTGTTAGACATCTCCAAACTGCACCTGATTTTCTCCTGTATCCCAAAGAGCCCAGAAGGGCCTCATGGAGTGCTGCAAGGCTCGACATTTTGCTGTGAGGATAAGGAAAGGACTTGGAGTACAAATCACCCCATGTTACTTGCTGTAGATCTGTTCCTTATCTGTTCCTAAAATCTGGCAAGGATGCATTTGGTACAAACTAGGGAGCTGGGGGGATGGTAGTGGGGTTGGGGGGTGGAGGTGGAGAGCAGCTCTGTGCAGGGAAGGTGCCTTTCACACTGAGAGGCAGCTACTCTGTACTAGGTTAAATCAAGGGAACAGTCTCAGTGGTGTTACTTCACATTCGTCACACTGTTACTCCCCACCTTGTACCCGGGTACCTCAGGAGATGTTATCTCAAATGACCTGGAGATGGTTCAGGCTTTAAACCAGTTAAGAGAAAGAGCTTAAATTGATGCATCTTTGAGTTGGAAGATGTTTAAACCAGAAAGAAACCCAGAAGGATAATGAAAAACGTTCCCCCCTCCCCTTCTATACCACATCAGATTGACTAATCCTCTGTTATGTGGCTTTACTTTGAAACAGATCATTCTCGTTGCAACACGTTTAATGCTGCCAGCCACCACATGGTTATTTGGCAGCTATTTAAAGCTCAGATCATATTACTCTGTCGCAGTGCTAGGCACCCATGTTCCAACTGGTATACAACTGATCTAAAGAGAAATCAGCTTCAGGTTTTGTTCTCTGAAATTAAATGTGACGGCATGATCTCTATGATTCCTTTACCCCCTTTTTCTCCTTTTTTTTTTTTTTTTTTTTTGTTTTCATTTTTTTTTTTTTTAACAGCATTTTTTTTTTTTTTTTTTTTTTTTTTTTTTTTTTTTTTTTTAATGCATTATTACTTTTTGGAACAGCATTTTGCTAGCACCACAGGGGAAATTCAGTTAGGTTGTCAGCCTGATATAGTGTATTATCAGACACGTTAGCTTTTCCTCCCTCTTACATTTGCTTAAGAGCTTATAAACCACAGAGAATAAAAAGTGCTAAATAGAATGAAATGACCTGTCAAGGGTAGATATAGTATTTGTGAATGACTTAAAAAAATTCCAGCAGCTTCATGCACTCCAGTCTCACTGACTGTCTGCGTTATCTTGAAATTTGGCCTCTTTCTTTATTCCTCCAAGTAAAGCTCTTTGATGGGCATTGATCTTTGATGATTCTGTCTTGAAAAGGACTAATTTTGTCTTTTCATGTTCAGTCCACGGTGAGATTTTGTAGCAGGAGAGGATATCTTTATGAGATTTGCAATAGATTTGAAACTTGCTCTTAATATCATAAGACTAATCTTGAATTTTTCAAAACATTGAACAAAGTCAAGAAAAGCTAGTCCCAAGAAGAATTAACCAATAAATACACTGTATTTAGTAGGGAATTTAGTTATTCTATTAATGTAAAACAGGAGAATTTTCCATGGAAAACAAAGTGACTGATCTCATGCCCAGCTCATTGTGAACTCTGATAGATGTATTAAATTCAGGAGCTGTGGTGATCATCTTGCATTTAACCTCTCTCAGGAAATGTGGGATAGTGCTTTCAAAGAAGCTCCAGTGAGTCTTGATTAGGAAACTGAAGTTTTTTTAATGTAATTCTTTTTTTACTCCTATTTTCTGACGTCCTGCCCATTTGTATGTCATCATCCTCCCCCTCTCCTCCCCTCTGCAATTACGGAAAAAAACCTTCTCTGGGTTTACATCTTTGCCCTGAACTTTAAATAACAAGTTGCTAGTCAAAGCAATATGTACAGCATATTCCTGTATGTTCTGGGACTAGTGTTAAGTAGCTTGGTTCTTTGGCATGTACATCACATAATCCAGTACAAGAGCACCCTTTCAGCCTTCCCTGAGAAGCAGGCTTTAGGGAGGGAAGTGTTAAGCTTCCCTTGAAGCACCTCAGCCTCTGAGGCACTGGCATGCTGTGCCATGCACAGAACAGTCCTGCACATGCCTGGTGCTGAGAGGAGCCTGAAGAGCTTTGTGAGCTGCGGCAGGACCCACATGTGGGACAGCTTAGAATGCAGTCTCCAAGACATGTCTGTGTAGCAGTGCATGTGGACAACTAGCTTTGAAAAGTCAGCTTAAGTACTGTACTCTGATGGTGGCTGTGCCTGTGGTGTGCAAGACAAAGAGAGGGCCAAAGAGAGAGGAGGAACAATAACCTGGATTATGCTCTCTGCCTTCCCCACAGAAACAAGGCCCAGTGTACCAGTGCTGTGGTCCTGTCACTGCAGCTCCAAATGCCTTTTATGTTTTTGAAGTTGCAAATACACCCTCAGTTTGTGGCTTTCCCCAGTGTTAGTTTTGCCTAGGGAAATGAGACTGGTGGGATTCAGAACAGAACAGGGTATGTGTAAGTTGTAGCTCTTTAGCTGGATTGATACACTAATATAGAAAAGCTGTGCACAGTTTCATATTTCCTTGGAAGATTTTTCTGGCTACTCTCCGTATCTATAGAGAATGCAATCCATAGGAGGCGCTTGCTTCTACAATCAGAAAATAAAAGTTCCAGCCTGATTTAAAAAAAAAAAAAAGCAAACTCCTATCAGCTTAGTTTTTCTAGCTCTAATGAAAACTTAGGAGTACCTTATTGTACAAATGATCCTGAATAAATCTGTCACAAGGCAGTGACATACATACTTAAAGACAGGATGGTGAGAGTTGGTTCTGTTGTATAAGACCCTCTTATAAGTCTAACCTGTGATTCACACAGTGAATATTTCGATAACCTTTCTGCAATAAGAAGCATTACTTATAATTCAGATGGATGGGAATATTAAGCAATTATATTCCAATTATGAATTGCTGTAAAAAAGCATGTCTGACATTTTTGCTCAGCAGAAAGGAACCCAAACAAATTCTATGTATATTTCAGTGCATTGAAATACTCTTCAGATTGCTCTTGGTAATCTGTGTCCATACCTCTGCTGCTCCAGTGAAACAAGCACATCCATTGAAGAGTTTGCATGAATCAGCTATGGGCTCTTTAATTAACTGAGGGCTTCTGCAGTCAGAGTAAGAAAAAAATTCATGAACTCCATAGTCCAAATTAGAAACCCCACTTAGGAGCTAAGACCCTACATTTTCATATCTGAAACTCCTCAATCAGCCATTTGCTTGGGTTATTTGGTCAGATCCTTATTCCAGCAAAAACAAACTGCCTGTTCAGTTGTTGCCTGTATGCCTACATGCAGGAATACCAGTAGATGCAAGAATTGTCTAAAAACTTCTCAATAACAGAAAAAGATAGGGCTTTGAGAGAGCATTTTAACGTAAATCATTTGGCCCACACCAGCTTTTCAGTGAACTTGGATCCTGTTAGTGAAGAATGCCAAAGGTGTGGCTTTTAAGTTTTGAAAGAACACTTGTACTGTATCAGTGTCTGAACTACTCCTGCATCAAGACAAATGGTTGGCAAAACCAAACTCTTCCTCTCATGAGACTGTGACACCCACCAATTTCCTCCTCTGTGAAAGGGAGAATCTGCGTCGTGTTTGTTGAGATTTATATTTGTTGTTTACCTAAGAGGGAACATGTGTGACATTCACGTCCCCCTGTACAACCTGCTGCAGACAGGACGGAAACCTCCTCGGCTGAGAGGTCCTTCCCCTTTTCTCTTGGCCGCTCGGGCCGGGGAAAAGACGGCGAGGGGATGTGTGGGCCGGGGGCGTGCTGCTGTGTGGGGCCGGCCGGGCCGGGGTGAGGCCTGGGTGGCCAGCAGAGCCGCGGGTCAGTGCGGCCGAGGCGCCGGCTCCCGGAGCGGTGTGGAAGCGGTGCGGAAACGGTGCGGGGGCAGTGCGGGAGCGGTGCGGAGGCGGCGAGGGAGCGGCGAGGGAGCGGCGAGGGAGAGGTGCGGGAGCGGTGCGGGAGCGGCGCGGTGCGGGGCTGCAAGGCGCCCGGCGGCCACCGGGGGGCTTCATCTCCCCTCGGAAGGAGCTCTGCCGGAGCCGCTTCCCGGGAAAGCGGCTCGTTAGCGCTAATGAGAGCCCGGCTGTTCTGCTCCCGCGGCTCTGCGTTTGCTGTTAGCTCACGGGTTAGCCATTTAAAGGTATCTCGGCCTCCCTGTTTATTTTGAGGGTCTCACGTCTGTCAACCTTCACCGAGTAGCGGCTAATACGCTTAAGCACGTTTTACCCTTCGCGAGAGCCTTAATAACAACCAAGGCCATTAGTGGGTCAGGACGGCCCCAAATGCTGGGCTAAATGCTCTTTCCAGCCTGCCAGGCTCCTGTGGCTGCGGTGCTGCTCTACTTTTTGTGGTGCTTCACTAATTTCTTGCTTAAATAATTATCCATGAGAGTAATACATATTAACAACTATAATACATTGGTTTTTGGGTTTTTTTTAAAAGCTTATATTAATTCATAAGATGTCAAAGTGCTTTATAAATGAGGTCAGTGCAATTAACCCTATTGAGCCACTGCTGCGAAGAAATTCCAGATGTGCCCATAAACTGATGCTGTCACTTGGCATCAGCCGGACAAATGGTCCTGTTTCTAGCACCTTTAATCCAATCTGGAATCAAAACCAAAACAGCGGAAAGCCTCCATATTAGATAAGGTTTTTTGGTCACAGAAGCTGCCATTGCCGTGAAGGGAGGAAGGAAATAGTCTGGAAGAATTTGGAAACTGCCCTGCTGTGCTTAAAGTGGTTGGGGACCACTGAAGAACTGAAATAAGGAGAAGCAGCAGTTGGCAAAAACTGGAAGAGGTAGCAGTGAGGAGAGTGAAGTTTCTTAAGTAACATGTAGCTTAGAGAGCTGTCACAGTTTTTCAGAGAGATTCCTGCCCTTCCTTGGAGGAAAACGTTCCCAGTGATCTGAAAGAGTGAGGGGGCTAAAGCCCTAAAAGAAGGCCTCCAATTTTAGAAATGTCTCTCCTCACCATAATCCCTCCACTTTTATAACATTTTCTACGTATGACATTATACGAACTGCGTAACTGACAAATCCTTCATTTGCATTAGATTTAAGTGGCTTTCCTCCTATCACTCCTCACGGTTAAAAATACATTACAGAAATTACTATCCTGCCTAGGAAAATGTGTGATGACTCTGGTGTCTGTCGTTTATTTCTAAAACATTTTGGCACTTTTCCTCCTGAGTTGTCTTTTCCCTTCAGCTTCGAGAGGGGAAAAGGAAAGTGCAGGGTTAGGGCAAGATTTTTCCATTTCCCTGGTTATTGCATGCATGCATTGCAGCCCACATGCCAGGCATGACGGAATCTAAATGCTGGGCAGGAACAGTGAAATCCTCAGGAGGAAAGGAGAATAGAAAGCACAGAGAAGCCACAGTTTGGGCTGCCATCACAATGACCATATCGAATCAGACCAAAGGTACTGGCCCAAGATCTTTTCTTCCTACACTGCCCAATATTTACAGAAAGACTGTCAGCAAACAGCAAGTGGAGCATGACCTTTCCATTCATATGACCTTTCAGCTCCTGCAAAGAAGAAAAATTCAACCCTGCTTTCACCTCCTTGCTACATGGGCTAAATTTGGCCCTCTGCATGCAAACAGCCCTCTGATGTTCTTCACTCCTTTCTCCTGCAGGCCGACAGATGATGCTCCAGTGTCTTGTCTCAGGGGCTGCTCATGTGGGGTGTTTCTGAGCATTAATCATGCTGCAGACATCCGTTTTCCCTCTGATAAGAGCCTGGCTCAATCTGTAAGGAAAGGAGGGGAATCAATCTGCCTGATTGCCGTAGACCCTTCATTTTGCACTGCTCAGCCCCTTGCCAAGCAGAGCAGCAGGGGAGTCTCCGCTCAGTTGCTCCCAGCAGGTGTCACTATGGAATGGGAAAATGCAATTCCAGGGCTGGGAAAGAAGTCTGGCAACAGGTGGAGCATCCTCTGACACTGCTGCCGAGGTATCATGCCACTGTGTCCCGGAAACCTTCATAATTAGATCTTAAGCAGACGCGCTGCCACCCTCTGCCTTCCCTCCTTTTCCCCCCCTTTGTCGCAGCAACCGTAATAGCAGGCTGGGGGGAGATTGTGATTTTTTTAAGGCATTGCTTAGCAATGAATGCAGAGACACCCATCTTCATGGATCACTACCCTGTGTAGTAACGCAGCACAATAATGTGTAAAGTTTCCAGAACTGTTGGTAATTACTGATAAGCCCAGTTCAGCTTTCAGTTACATACAAAGCTGGGTAAACAATGGGAGGAAAAAATTAATTAGAGCCCATGTTTGCTAAAGCTAGTTAGTGATTCCATCTGATCACGTTCCTGCTCCTTTTATTCCCTTTGCACAAACATTTGGGTGGTCAGGTTTTTCTAGCACCTAGGTGTGCAGGGGGGGCTTTAGTCTGTGCAAATAAAATGTCTCTCTCTAAGGGCATGGCCCTTTCTGGCAAGTGCTTGCCCATGCTCTTCCCTTGTGTTTGCAGCTGGGAAGGTGTTTGTAGGCCTGGGAAGGTAGAAGTGGAATGGTCACCTCTGCCAAGCAATACTGGGAGTCTATACATCAGCAAAAGCTGATGGGGGAAGACAGAAGAGAGGACAAGAATGAATGGGAGACAATGGAAGGACACTCATCTGGGGATATTTCACAAGTGTCTTGACCTCAGAGTACCTTTGTACAGTATGTCTTCTGTGACAGGAAACACAGAAGAGGCAGAGGGGAATTCACCGTCTCACAGAAAGTTCCTCTTAGGCATGCTCTGAACACACTGGTGATGTAGACATTGGGCGTGGCTTCAATTGCCTCACTTGCTGGGAAGACTGAGGTAGACCCAGTTTTTAAGAGTTTTATCCCAGTGGGAAGGCTCAGTAGGTGCTATGCAGCAGCTCGAACACTGCATGGGCCCTTTGGCCCTCCCTGGCTCCTCACAGGGACTCAGACAACTTCTGGGTGTTCAGGGGGACTAAGGGTGTCGGAAGATGCTGCCAGGGGTCTAAAATCCATGTTGTCCTTTATGACCTGTTGAACACCCTCACTACGGTAGGTCCGATTTACTAACTCAAAAGCAAGACCAGTCTTGAGAAGGTAATCAGAGCAGATGACCTCCAAATGTCCCTTCCAGCTAAAATAACTCTGTAATTCTATTAATGCGGGGTCATATTTACTTATCCATATCCTTGAACAGTGCCCTTATTTTTTCTGCACACCATTTACCAGTTTTATGCAGAAGGAATGCCTATTCTTCTGCTCTGCCATTCTCAGAGATCAGGAATGTGATTAGGATGAATGTGACATCTCCTCAACTGATTATAAATATTGTGTACATCTTTCCCTCTTCTGCATCCTCAGAGAAACTCAGATACTTCTGCTGGTGAGGACCATGTTTGGATAAACAGAGAAAGGACTTGAGTGTCCTCAGCATCATCTCCTCACATCTCCATTCCCTGAAGTGCTCCCTCAGAGTCAGTGCATCAGTGATTTCTTCAGATTCATCTCCAACATGTAGCAACCATGTCAGGCAATTATAGGTATGGCTTGATGTTTTGCTGAACAGTTGGGTGAGACCTGGCATCTGCTTAGACTCATAATGTGTTTTTCTTCTCTTATGAAGAAATGCTTGGCAGATGGATCCATAAAATCCCACACTTAAGTGCACCCCTTTTATTGTTGTTGTTCATGCCCTGGTATGCAAAGCTGTGTTTTATGGGGTGTTGGGAAAGGCTGAGATCAAAGCTAATGTGATTTACCCATATACCTTCAACAAGAAGAGGAGTTCAAAAGATAGGAGATCATCTATGATGGCAATCAGACTTCACATATCTTTTCCTGTTGGGACACAATAAAAAAAAAGGGTTCTGGGCAGAGGCCTAATATCAGTCTCTCCTTTTCCCACTAGCACACTGGACAACAAGGATCCCTTCTAACTTAGCATGCAGGGTCTCCCCTTGGCCTCCAGCCACAAGTATCTGCCCTGGCAGTATGTTTCTAAAACAAACTCACAGTGTGTGAATGTAAATACATTCTCCCCTCTCCCTGTTTGAGATACTTTCAGGAAAGAAAATATCCCTATGTTCTAATTTTTGTTTAATCGGAATACAGTTGCTGGATGTAAGCCATTCTAATTAAACTGCAAACTTCTTTTGTAGAGAGCTCAGATGTTGAAGAATTCGATTTCAAGCATTACACAAGTATGTATCATTTGTACTCATCTTTTAAAATTCCGCTGGCATGGAAGAGTAGCAAAAACCACCACCAAACTCCAAACCAAGGCCCCCAGATCTGTTTGCTCTTGCACTTTGGCTGTCCCTGGGGTCTTCATGGAATTTACGAAGCCGGGAGCAGAGCCTGACGCAGGGTGTCAGCTGGCAAATGTGGGTGGTACTTGGTTGTCAGATAAAGATTCATTTAGAAATGCAGCCGAGGAGAAGGAAGCTTCCTTCTGTACCCAGCACAGCCCCTGCAAATCAGGTGTCGAATTTGCTATCATGTAGCGAGCAAGCGCTTGGCAAGTTGTTCCTGGTGCGTAGGTTACAGAGGTGCTGCTGCTTTAACACGGATAATTGTGCTGGGTGTCCGGCAGCAGACCCCGAGCCACTTTGCTCGCAGTGCGGTGGAGCCTGGGCCATCAGCCAGCCGAGCTGCGTGCACTTGCTCGTGCTCAATTAGCAGGTTCAGGCTGTGTATGCAATCCTCGCTGACTGCAGTGCCAAGGCACCAGTTGCCCTCAGCAGCTAATAATATAGAACTGCAAAGCACAGTTAATTAAGTAGGTACAATTTATTCCATGGTGTGTTCCCTACATGTGAAATGGTGTGTGGTTTTCTGCGAACGATGTAAGTTGCTGCTCCCAGAGTTGTCCCTTGGGGTCCTGGTGTCATGTGCTCATTCCTTCTCTCTGCTCTGTGCCAGACTGTTAAGGAGGCAACACCAAAAATGTAAAGTCTTCTTTTGAACTAAACTCTTGGGGAGTATAGACTTTGGCTGGTTTTTCTTTGGCCGTCTTTGACATCTTTTGCCTTCTCAGCTAGGACCACAAAGATCTAAATAGTAGTTCTCTGCTGTTGGAAAACAGGCTAGCATCGGGATTTCTGTGAAAGCTTCCTGCTGATCACTCACTGTCATCCCCACCAGTGTATTTTCAGTGCACTGAAACACGCAGCAGCCTAACCTAAGCAAGAGATTCTTGCTTGGCTTCAGTCGTTCACAGAGGCAGAGAGCTATGACTTATATGTCCAGAGGATGTATGGGAAACACTTTAAAAATAGAAAGGTTCTTGTTTTATAAGCTTCCAGTGAGTCCCCTCTCAGAGAAAAACATGTTTCCCAGACTGTGCATCATGTTTGAAGGAAGATGTTTTACAACTGCATTTTTAGTTTGGGGTGAAGAGAGATGCACTGGTGCTTTATAAAGGCACTAAAAATCATTAAAGAAAAAACAAAATCAAAACAACATAGTAGTAATTTATGAATTACTGATGGTCATCTGAGGCCAGTGTATGGGCAAGCCTTACTTTCTCCTCTGTCTCTGGTTGCTACAGTGTTTGACAACATCTGGGTCAAGGTGAAATATCCATTTTGTTTTGAGGAGGAATCAAACATTTTTACAGTGCATCTCAGTTAAAATTTTGTTCTTAGGTTGCAAAGAAACCTTTACTGCCACACTGTAAACAAGGTGTAAGTCCAATGAAATAAACTCAGAATAAGCAGAGACCAGAAAGCACTACTACATGTTTCTTTTAAAAGGAAAGAAAATAAAAAATAAACTAATAAAGCAAACAACAACAACAACAACAAAAAAAAAAACAACTGGGAAAGACAGTGAAAGATAAAGATATTTGAATGATCTAGTAGTTATATCTACAGCAAGAACCACTCATTCATTAATCTAGTCTTGCTTTGCTGACATTGTTGAGCAGGTAGAAACCAAACTCTTCCAATCTTCTCCCTCATATGCTGCTTCTCACCTGCTTTCCAGTTTGGAAATCAAACTTTTAACTCTCCCTCTGCTATGGACATTTGAAAGGCTTCTGTTGTGTTCTCTTCCTTGAGTTCGCTTCCAGTTCAAATGGCAGTGGACAGGCAAGATAGGAAAGGTTAAATTGTTAATTTGTAGAACAGAATTATTAATTTCAGGAGGAAATAGAGGACCATGAATCCTGCGTGCTGGGGATGTCTCTTGTAATGACGAGGAAGGCATCCAGATGCTAGTGAGAACTGATGGACATGTGAAGGACATAGCCCTGTGCTGCTTGTGTACCACTGGCACGGGAGTAATTGCCCTGCACACAGATCCCAGATGTCAGGAAGGCAAAATGTCTGACTGCAACAGTCCATGGTCTGGCACAGAACAAAACCCAGCAAAGCTAGGCGGGAAAAGAGCAAGAATTAGGAGAGCAGTAATAAGATCACACAGTAAGTAGCTGCCTACATGCACAATTAGACGGTTCCAAGCCATTTTAAAGAGGAGTTGTGTGAATAATTGATTTTTCAGTTCGCTGGTCAAACTGAAGAAAAAAACCATTCATTTTGGATTGACCTGAAGCATAAAATTTTATTGGCTTTCTCGGAAAAATTTAAAAAAAAAAGGTTAGGGAAAATTATTTGGGGGTTGAAGTCAAAGTTAATTTATTTGGAGGGACTGAAATGCTCATTAAGTGCATCTTAAATTTAGAGAAGTTTAGAGATAAACTTTTTTACAAAAAATTATTTTTTGAAAATATGTGATGAAAAATGTTGTGGAAATATGAAAATAATTTTTCTTTTTTTGAAATCACAGTCCTTTTCAGTCAAAATTATTATCCAAATCAAGCCAATTTCAGAAACAATTTTGACCTGACTTATTTGCCTAGTACCTAACAACATTGCTTCCTCTGTCATTCAGCCCTTCTTTCACAGGACAGTGCATTTGTTGGAAGGTAGGTTGTAAACAAATTCTGAAGGAAATGGTGGCTTGATTTTCAAATGAGGATTTTAAACTTACTTTTGTTGGACATGAACAACATAATTCTAAATCTGTTTCTGTTATGAAGCTAAGATTAGAGAAAAAATATTCAAGTGAAGAAATAATTTAGTTTTTTATTTTTAAGTAATAAATTAAAAAATGTAAATAAGGCTTGACAAATTAAGAAATTTTTACTTAAGCATTCCATAACACTCACTACTCGCACAATTACCCATCACTAGTCCTGAGGAAAAAAAAGAATAAAATAACCTGTGGTGTCAGAGTTTTCAGATAAGCATCACAGGTTTTCCCTGTAGTTCCAAAGTCATCATTCCTGTGGCAAGCTGGGGGTTCCCCAAGGTGCAGAGGGTGTTTTGGGAGTCCTTTGTGGAGCTGAGGGTGGGTGAGATCATTGTCTGGTCACGCTGACTGCCCAGGTGTCAGCTCCCAAGGCTGGATCTCTCTTTCTCGCTTCCTAAGGAAAAGCTGGCATGCCTCCTGTGGGCTGTGCTTTCAAGCTTGCTCTTCTTCCTGCAACAGTTCAAAGATCAAAGAAGGAGCAGAAGCTGTTTCCCAGGAGCCAAAAGACGCCCATCACACAGACCCTGTGGGAGATGCCTCGCAAAGGATCGGAATTTAGTGATCATTTTGTTTGGTAGCCAGTTTCTTTCAGTCCTTTAATATTCATTACATTGAAAATATTTTCCCTCTTATAAATACCATCTACTCTTTATTGGTTTCTCTCTTAAGTGTGCTTTATTTCTGCACATTATACTTTATGTGTACACTTAATAGTTCCTGAATGAATCGCTTCATCTTAGATTAGCTGAGTAACTTTGAGTAAGAAAAGGAAGGAAGCTGTCTAACATGACCACCCTTCTCACATCCACCTCTCAGAATCACTGACCTGGTATATTTGGTGTCCAGGGCCTCTGTCTGGGTCAGGGGGGTGAGAGCTTTGCTCACAGGGACTGTACCAACCTCTCCTCACATGGGCTCAGCAGAAGAGCACAGGCAGTTATTTATGGCTCTGAAGCCTAAGCAGCTCTCCGAAATGAAGACACCGTGATCTAGTTAGGTTACAGAAAATAATGGGCACTATACATGTGCTTTGATACATTTGCTTTTCTTTTGATTTGTCTGAAAGCCTCTCATTCTCTGTCTTTCTTCTCCCTACTGTCATTTTCCTTTTTTCTCTTCCCATTCCCAGTTCAAACCTGACTTAAAGAGTTTATGAGGGAGAACCAGACCCCAGAACAGTCATTGATCTTAAGAGGATCAGGTTTCTGCCTGTATCACTCTGTCCTTTGGGTGCTGCTGAATCAATTTTATTTTATATTAAAAGTTTATTAGAGACAAGCCTTGCTTTTTCTTATGTGTTTCTATATTTTTTCCAGGAAAAATGGGAAGAAGCAGTCACACCCAGATGGATTCATAAAACAATTAATAATGAGAAAAATAATATCCTCATTGTCATTAATGACCACATGCCGATCTTCCTTTTAAGGCAATAGATCACCCTGTCGTGACTTCTTTGGTTCTCTGTGCAAAAGGAAAAAAAAAAAAAAACCAACTAACCAGCTTCTCATGGTGTATAAAGAAATTGAAACCTGTTTATTTATGACTGGAAAAGAATGAGCAGCCTCATTAATGTGGTATAAAATGGGTATAATTCAGCATTCTGTACAATCCTCCATGACGTGTTGACAGGTGCTGTCATGCACTATCACTTTTAGGTTATTGCACTCTAATAGACTACAATTATAGCTCATTTAATATGATATGACAGTGGGGAAGCACGTGCAAGGTTACAAGCAGTTACACTTACAAAACAAGCTGGTGCCAATGAATACAGCTACAGGTAAATATTGCAGGGGGCAAATCCCCTTTCTGCTGCCACAGAGCCCGAATGTCTGCGGCTACAGGTCTTATGCATACAGTTCTCGCAGTGAAACATTTGTGCCTCGCTTTTTCTCTTATTTTCCCCACAAATGCCAATATTACTGCTTTCAGTTGTGCCTCCTAATGTTGCTCCAACAGTCGAAACCACAGCAGGGGGTGGAGTAGACTTGAAGAAAAGCCGAAGCTGTAAGTAGCACAAGATTTATAACAGTTGGCAGCCCAACATCTCATCTCGTACAAACAACTCGGTTTCCTTTTGGCGGCCTGCTGTGCCACTAACAAGGCAGGCTACAAAATTCACCCACTGGGTGATGGGGAACGCCAGCACAAAGCACACACCAGCATCATTTTCATATGGTAGGAGAGCAGCAAAAAAGTTGGGCCCCGCGCATGGATTTCAATC